AAAAAAAATGTATCTGGACTTTTAGGTAGCTGGAAGAGATTGTCCTGTCATCTTCCTTCATCCTGTCCATCTTAACTTCCCATCCCTTGAGAATAGGATGGAGTAGAAAAGCACTGAACAGGGAACCAGAGACCTTGTTGATTGTACTAGCACTGCCAACATTTTGCTGTGTAACTGGAAAAATTATTTCTCTTCTTCAAATCTCAATGTTTTTATCTGAAACAAAATGAGTGAGCTAGATCAGGCAATCTGTGAAATGCTTTTCAGCTTCTTCAGTCTGTTTCTATTACTTCACCAAGACTTTTCAGGGCACTGTTGAGGTTAGCTGGTACTGATCATGACAGAAGGGTATTAGAGAATGAAGGGGTCAAGTAAAAGTGGGAAAGGAAAAAAGCTTTGGCTGGAGCCACCACTTATATTTTGTGAGGTATCTTTCCAGCTGCCAGCACATCCACTCTTGGGTCAATAAGATGGCTGCAGAGGAAGCAAAGGTATTTAACGAGGAAAACAACAAGGTCCTCAGAAGACTGCCTCTCCTGTTTGACTTAATTATTTGTGATTTCTAAAAATAGACAACTTGGCTGCTGCATTTTCACAGAAAGTTTTCAACAGTTCATTATTGTACTGTGTTTTGGCCTTAGAAATAGATCTCAAGGGCCAGACGGTACCAGAGCAGTAGCATGATGCTCTGCAAGGTACACCCGCATGGAAAGGTTCTGGGTTCTTGTCTGGAGACCTCCTTGAGTGTTCCAGGAATACACATGCCCATGATTAGGTATTGGCTAAAGCTGGGGGTAGATTGCAGTTTGAGGACTCTGGTGGAGAGCCCCTTTCTCTCTCTCTTTATATCTCTCTTATTCATGGGAGGAAGAAAGAGGAAGGAAGGAAGGAAGGAAGGAAGGAAGGAAGGAAGGAAGGAAGGAAGGAAGGGGAAAGAAGGAAGGAGGGAGGGAAGGAGGGAAGAAAGGAGGGAGGGAGGGAGGGAAGAAGGAAGGAAGTAATGAAAGAGAGAAAGAAAAGAAAGAAAAAGAAAAGAAAGAAAGAAAGAAAGAAAGAAAGAAAGAAAGAAAGAAGGAAAGAAAGAAAGAAAGAAACTTTTATTTTTTAAAAAAGGAAGAAAGGGGACCCACAGGTGGTGTGGTGGTTAAGATACTGGACTTCCACATAGCCAACCACAGTTCAAGTCCTGGACCTGGCAGCTTGATTTCTCACTCCTTTTCTCTCTCTCAAATTGAATAATAATAAAATGATAAATAGTGATTGAATGTTTAAAAAATAATTGAAATAATAATAATAATCTGGGAAAAAATGCAAAGTTACTGGATGATGACGATGGGGATTTTAATGTCTTTGTATTGACTGATATGAAAGGTATTCTTTCTGGAAAAAGAAATGTAATACACTGTAAAGTTATATGTGATTCAATGTAATACAAACAAGATTATCATAATAATAAAAATTTTAAAAAATTGAATAATAAATAAATAAAATAATTCTCTTATTTTTTTAAAAAAGGGGGGAGGGGAAGACAGAAAAATAGTAGGTCTCAAATATGTGTTTCAGGACCAAAACGCTCTCCGCAAAGGGAAAAATTTTGTTCACCTCCAGCCTCAATCTTAACCCCAAGCCCAAATTCTGGAGAGATGTGGTATGTGCAGTACACTAAGACTTCTGTTCTCATTTCCAATTGTGAGTACCTTAATGTTCCTTTCTTGGATCATTTATAAGAGCTATCCCTGCTGGTTCATCACAGCAATCATGGAGAAGACCTTCTCTGCTTCATAAAAGATACTGGTCCATATATTGATCTTTATTTTAGACTTAGAGGAAGCTAAAACAATCATGTGATCCAGTACTACCCCAAGTATGGTCCACAGAACAACAACATTAATAGTCTCTGGAAGCTCAATGCTATGCAGGCTCACAATACCCACTGCACACTTGTGGAAACTGAATAATCTGAGGGTGGAGCCATGTAATTAGCATTTAACAACCTCTTGAGGCAACTCTATACACATTAAAGTTTAAGAAGAATGTCATTTTGTTTCCATTTTTAAAATTTATTTCTTTACTTACATTTAATCACTATACATCTTTACAGGGTATAACATTGTTTCTCCCAGCTTGAATATGGTACATATTAGTCAAGTCAAAGACGTTACCACAAACATTATCATCAACAGATAACTTTTCATTTTTGTGTCTATTAAATGTTTTCTTTTTTTTTTTCTGATCCCCTCTCTCTCACTCTCTATTACTCACCCACTTCTATACTGTCTCCAGTATCTACAGTTGGCCTCCCTGATATTACACCTTCCAATCTTTCAGTTTCTGTAATAGAGTATAGGCATCTGGTATATATTAATCGGGGACATACAATTCCTGTCTTTCATAGTCTAACTTGCTTTGCTTAGCATTAAATCTTCCATATTACTCCACTTTATATCAAATGTCAGTGTGTCATTTTTTTTTTTGGTTGAGTAGAGAACATGTGCCACATTTTTTCAATCTACTCATCCATTCTTGGACATTTGGGTTGATTCCATGTCCTAGCAATTGTGAATAATGCTTGCAATAAATATGGATGTGCAAGTGTTTTTCCAACTGAGTGTTTTCCTATTCCTTGGATAGATACCCAGGAGTGGAATTGCTGGATTGTATGGTAGTTCAACTTGTAAGTTTCTGAGGAACCTCCATATCATTCTCCACAGTGGTTATACTAATTTGCATTCCCACCAACAATGTAGGAGGGTTCCTTTTTCACAACAGCTTCATCAGCACTTATCATTCTTTATTTTTTTAATTTTAGTCATTCTGGCTGGGGTTAGGTGGTATCTCACTGTGGTTTCAATTTACATTTCCCTGATGATAAGGGATGCTGAGCATTTTTTCATATGCTTTTTGGCCATTTGTATGTCTTCTTTGCATGCCATTTTGCATTTTTTTTTTCAGTTTTGAAAGTTTATAATCCCATGAAAAGAACAAAGACTTAGTATTCTGGGTATCAGAGTAGGGTTGGTCTACATAGTCTGATGATTTTAATCAATCAGCTTCAATGAAGAGATAAAAACAAAATGAGTTTGCAGAGGATCAAGTATTTAGGAAATTATAAGAAAGGCAGGATGAGATATGGTACATCCAAAGGCAGGATGAGATATAAACTACCCATAGGAAGGTTTTACATGAGAGAAATTATGTAACTACTGGGCACCATCATAAGGGTGCATGGGAATCTTTGAAGACTGCACAAACCTGTCAGTGGTAAAATTTGAAAGGAAAAAACTGGGATAAGGTTGTGAATTCAGAACAAAATACATTCCCTTAGGCACAAGCATAGTACTTCAGAGGGAAGGGCTCCTCCTCTAAAACTTCTTCAAAAGGCAAGATGGCAGCCACTGTGAGATAAGGAGAAAGAGCTTCCCAGGGAGGTTTCCTGGAAGATTTTCCCAATCTTCTTGGTAGTGTATGGTACAGAGTCATTGAATTAGGCAGGATAGACTAAATTATGCTTTGATAATAACTTCCAGATCTCCTTAGAACAACAGAAGGAGTCACTCCCACTGTTATCAATCGAAGATTTCTGTTGTACTTTCTCCTTCTTACTCAAGAGTCCAGAAATAGTTGGTGAAGCCACTATTGGCAATGTCACCTGTCACCATGGCAGAGGAAAAGGAAAACTCTAACGGACTTGGCAAGGACAGTTAGAAGGCAGTCTGAATGGCACATATCATTTCTACTCACATATTCCTGGCCAGCTCTAACTACACAGTCTCACCCCACCACAGAGGAGCTAGGAAATGTGATTCTACCTCATTCCGGGAAGAGGGAGAATAGGGAATACCTGGCAAGCAGTGACAATGACCTCCAGAGTCACCAAATTGTATTTAGAGCTATTGTGTTTAGATTGAGGTAAGACACTTGTGGGACACAGATAAGGTTTATTATCTGTTGATGAGGATGTGTATAATAGTCTCAACCGTGCTGGACTGAGGTGTATATCATGCTGGGCAAAGTCTCTTCACAGTCTAAATGATGTATAGTGATTTAATGTATGAATAAAAATAATAAAAAAATTTTTAAAGAGAGAAAATTTGCAAAGGAACCCTTATCTATCACCATAGTAAAACCATCAGCATGTTCTTATTATTTAAAACAGGTAAAACTTTTCTACAGTTGATTTATTGTATATGAAACTAATGATATGTCCATTTCTATTTCAAATTGGTAAATAACATTTTTGAGAGTTTTTTTGCTATAGGGCACATGTACTCTCCAGAAAGACAGAGACGGACAGATAGAAAGCGAGAAATAACTCCCCAGGCGAAATGACCACACCACAATCCCTTCTCCTCCATTCTCCTCTCGGGATCTCGGGCATGCATGCACATGTGCCTGGCGTGAATTGAAACCGCCGGGTCTGGGACTCGAACCACAGTCGACTACATGGGAGTCCAGTGACCAGCCATTACACTAACTGCTGGTCCCAAGTGAATAACATTTTATTCAGAAGTCATCTGACTACAAGAAACAAAAACTCACTCAAATTAGTTGAGGGGAAAATGATAGTACATTATTATTAAATATTATTAAGGGATATAAAAGTTTTTCATAGGACATAAGGCCTGAATGTATAACCAGGCCTCATACAAAAAGGTAAAAAGGCATCTAAAGACATGGCAATGCTGTATCCCTCTCTCTCTGGATGTCGTGTACTCTCATTTCCTTCTCTCTACAAATCTGCATTTCTCTTCTGTATGATTCCTTTCCTACATGGTAACGCTTGGCTGAAATGACACCTTCAGCAATTAACCTTCCCCACCTAATTCCTAGGGCTAGTAGACACAATCTCTCCATCCCTTTGTTCCAATGCTGCTGGGAGAAATATCTGAAAATCTCTATAATGACTCCCCTTTTGTATCAGTGATCCAGCAGTGCATAACAAAACACCTCAAACTTAATAGCATGAAACAATTATTTATTGTCCTTGCTCATGGCTCTGGGAGTACACTGGGCTCACCTAGTCAATTCTCCCTCAGGGAAACTTAGGTGGTTGTGGTCAGATGGTAGCTGAAGCTAGGGTCATCTCAAAGTTTTCTTCACTCACTTGTCTGACTGTTAATGCTGGTTTCAAGTTGATACCACAACAGGAGCTATCATCTGAAACTCTCATGTGTGTCCTCTATGAAGTTTGGGCTTCCTCATAGCATGGCTGCTGGGTTCCAAGAACACATGGCCATAAGGTAGAAAACAGAAGGGGCTGCAAGAGAGAGATATTGAGAGAGCAAACCAGGTGAGAGGTATATCACCTTAGATGATATAGTCTGAGCTTCACAAAGTGTACTCTCTGGGTCAAGCATTCATGAAGTTCTGCTCAGTTTCAAGGAGAAGGGACAACGACCCTACTATTTGAAGGAATTGTAGCAAGGTTACATTGAACAACATCCATGTGGATGGATGTTATTGCTGCAGTTGTCTCTGGAAAATACAATTTGCCACATTTCAGTTAAATATCTGCTGTTGATCATTTGGATCACTTACCCAAGAAACCATTGCAATCATCCACCCCTGAAGTGGTAGGCAGTTCTTAAAAAATAAAAGTACGGGGTGAAAACCTATAAGGAGCAGCCTGTTTCCAATGAGATGTCCCTGAAGTGTTGAGAATATATCCCATCGATAACGCATTTACTCTTCAGTTTTAAACCCAGGACTCCAGGTGAGACAGTAAATATGGAATGCCTCACATTAAAATGTTACCCTAAAAGCTAATTTTAAACTATGGAAGATTTTCCCCCTCTTCTTTTATCCCTACTCTTTTCCCCCAAGTCCAGACTGTAACATCTACTCTGCCCTTACAGGAAAGGTAAACAGAGACTAGAGGAAAAAACGTCTTTGTTCAACCTGGACTTTCAAAATAGATTTTTCCTCAAGCCTATAGTACAAAAATTGTCATACAATTGCAAAAATCACAGAGTGGAAAGAGAAAGTGTTTTCTTTGACACTAAAAGCTGACCTTTAAGTATCAATGAGCCAAGTTGGAAAGCTTGAGTTTTCACAACAGCCACAGACTACATGGCATAAAGGATGTGGTAGAGGAGCATGTCCTGTTACAAAAGACAGAGAGCAATACCTTCCTACACTGGAGGAGAATCAAAGAAAGAGAATAAAATACATGGATCTCAGAGACAGCTCTAACCCTGAGCACCAACCATGGAATGAGCTGGTAGGGACAG